CGAGCGGCCGCCGCCCGCCACGTGGGGAGCCGCGGGCCGCGCCCGGACGGACGGACGGACGGACGGCTCCGTCACCCGAGGGTCGGTGTCCGTCCCGTCACCCGAGGGGACGGTGTCCATCCTGTCACCTGAGGGTCGGTGTCTGTCCTGTCACCCGAGGGTCGGTGTCCTCCGTCCTGTCACCTGAGGGGACGGTGTCCATCCTGTCACCCGAGGGGACAGTGTCCTCCATCCTGTCACCTGAGGGTCAGTGTCTGTCCCGTCACCCGAGGGTCGGTGTCCGTCCCGTCACCTGAGGGTCGGTGTCCTCCGTCCTGTCACCTGAGGGTCGGTGTCCATCCTGTCACCCGAGGGTCGGTGTCCATCCCGTCACCTGAGGGTCGGTGTCCATCCTGTCACCCGAGGGTCGGTGTCCATCCCGTCACCTGAGGGTCGATGTCCGTCCTGTCACCCGAGGGTCGGTGTCCTCCGTCCTGTCACCTGAGGGGACGGTGTCCATCCTGTCGCCCGAGGGACGGTGTCCATCCCGTCACCCGAGGGGACGGTGTCCATCCTGTCACCTGAGGGTCGGTGTCCGTCCTGTCACCCGAGGGTCGGTGTCTGTCCTGTCACCCAAGGGTCGGTGTCCTCCGTCCTGTCACCTGAGGGGACGGTGTCCATCCCGTCACCCGAGGGGACAGTGTCCTCCGTCCTGTCACCTGAGGGTCAGTGTCTGTCCTGTCACCCAAGGGTCGGTGTCCATCCCGTCACCCGAGGGGACGGTGTCCATCCTGTCACCTGAGGGGACGGTGTCCATCCTGTCACTTGAGGGGGACGTATTCTCTATCCCTGTCACTTGAGGGGGACGGGCGTCCCCCACTGCCACCGGAGGGGAATGGTTGGTCCCCACTCCTGTCACCTGAGGGGAAAGCGTGCAGCCCCGTCGTCTGAGGGGACAGGAGCTCTCCCTCTCTGCTGCGTAAGTCATTGGTACCTGTGACCTCTTGAGTGTCGCAGGTGTGGGTGGCCTAGGTACCTCTTCCTCCACACCCCTGCGTGTCCCTCCCCGGGGTGGGGGGTTGCTGAGGCTGTGTCCCACCCAGGCGGGCTCCTCCCGGAGGGACAGGACAGCCGGCCCCAGGGCCAGGGTGACACGTCACTGTGGTACGGGAGGCCTTCATACCTGTCCTGTCTTCAGCACCAGCCATTGCCCGCCGTGGCCACTGCCAGCCCTGTGCGTGGCTCTGCGGGGACGCGGGAGGGCAGCTGGGCGAGGGAGAGCATGAACAAGGGATTCACACTAGGGCTCCCCAAGTGCCACGCACAGGTCAGGGAAACTGAGGCAAGGTGTCCGCTCACCACACCTACTGAGTGCTGCCCACCACGTAGTGGGTTCGGATGTGGTGTGGCTGGGCGGCTGGCTCAGCTGGAGGTCTGGTTTCTTCATGGGGCCGGCAGTGGGGTATGGTTGGCACAATTGGTGTTGTCAGCATGGAGCTTACTACTCTGTGCCCTGCGGTTACTGCCTCTGCCCAGCACATTTCTGGCCCCACGGAAGGAGACCTTCCACGTCCCTAGCTTTGGCAGCCACCAACCCACGACCTGTGTCTGGATTTGTCATTCTGGGGCCATTACCTCAGATTCCCACACCACCAGGCCACTATGCCCGTTTTGGTCACTCACCGGCGTGGTTGTGTTCATCCACATTGTCTTCTTTTCTTTCTTTCTTCCTTTCTTTTTTGGTTGGTTGTAGGGCCTGAACTCTGGGCCTGGGCGCTGTCCCTCAGCTCTTTAGCTCAAGGCGGGCACTCTATCACTTGAGCCACAGCACTGCTTCCGGTTTTCTGCTGGTTTATTGGAGATAAGAGTCTCATCTTACAGACTTTCCTGCCTGGGTTTGCTTTGAACCACGATCCTCAAATCTCAGCCTCCTGAGTAGTTGACAGGTGTGAGCTGCTGGCACTCCGTTTCTTTATTCCTTTTCATGGCTGTGCACTGTTCTTTCCAGTAGACTTGTCAAATTTGTGGTTTTCTTTTTTCTGTTTCTTTTGGTGCCCATCCTGGAGCTTGAACTTGGGGTCCAGGTGCTGTTCCTGGGCTTTTTCACTCATGGCTAGCGCTCTGTCACTTGAGCCACAGCACCACTTCCGGCTCTTTGGTGGTTCATTGGAGCTAAGAGTCTCACAGACCTTTCTGCCTAGGCTGGCTTTGAACCACAATCCTCAGATCTCAGCCTCCTGGTTAGCCAGGGTTATAGGCGTGAGCCACCAGGGCCTATCTCCTCCGATTGTTTTTGCAGTTTGTTTTCTGTGGGCTCAGCCACGTGGATGGAAAGGCCTGGGAATGAGGATCCCCGTGTTGGGACGTGGGCAGGCTTTTCCCGAGCTTGTGGTGTTATTGAACTGCTGTAGACATGGCCCGGAGCACAGCCACTTGGGGTCTCCAGGTGGGCAGTGTGGTGAGCAAGGGTGGCTTAGGTGTGCCAGAGAACTGAGGGGCGGGGTGGGAGGAGAGGAGGGTGTCACCGTGGCCAGTGTCTCAGGACACGGGCTCCTTCAGCGACTGGACAGAAAAGAGCCAGAGTCGGCCTGGGATGGTGACGATCCCTGTAGTCCGGGCAGTTGGGAGGCAGGCTCGGGAGGATCGCTGGAGCCAGCCAGGCCCTGGGCAGCGGACACGGCACCGGGGTCCACACCGCAGCCGGAGGCCGCCTGTCCTGGCCAACCACGGTGCTGGCAGCATCCGCCTCCCCGCCCGCTGCCTGCAATCTGGTGCCATCTGCAGCCTGCTGGCAAAGCTCTGTGTGTGTGCTGGGCCTGGGGCACGAACTCAAGGCCTGGGCGCTGTCCCTGAGCTTGTATAATCAAGACTCTATCCCTGGAGCCACAGCTTTTGGGTGGCTAATCAGAGATAAGAGCCTCTTGCACTTTCTTGCCTAGGCTGGCTTCAGACCACGATCCTCAGACCTCAGCCTCTCCTGAGTCAGTGGGATTATAGGCAAGAGCCACTGGCTCCCAGCACACAGTTGTATTCAAACCCCAGGCTGTGCCCTGCCTGGGCTGGGCAGGGCTGGGCTTTGCCTGTGAAGGGAGCTGGCGAGCCAGGGCCCGGGCTGGCCTCACTGGTCCAGCTCGGGGCCTGTCACCTTGCCACGGGTCTCCGTGGATGCCTACAAGGATGGTTTGGTGAGGGCTGGGAGAGAGGCTCCACCCCCATGGTGGGTGTCCCAAGTTTTGGGTGAGGTCTGAGCACCCTAGGGTTGGGTCGGGTGGAGGCCTGGGCGTGGCTGGCCACCCTTCTTCACCCTGGCAGTGCCCTGGCGGCAACTACCAGGTGGTGCCCGGTGAGCCCTGGCCTCGGACCACAGGCGGATAGAGACGTGTGGGGCTGTCTCTGCCTCCACGTCCTTGGGGAGATTTCTGGGCCCCCCAGTGGGGCCTGGCCGGATGGGGGCCCAGGTGTGCAAACACGGAAGCCACCGCCCCCCAGGCCAGGGCCAAGTGCCTGGAGAGTCAATATTGACAGTTTGCCCTGGACAGAGGAAGTGGCAGCACCAGGGCAGGGTGGGGCCCGTTGGTACCCAAGATGCCAAGACCCCGCCCACCGCCCCTCCTACCCCCAGCCCAGCCCCTCCTACCCCCAGCCCGGCCCCTCCAAGCAGAGAGAAGATGCCAAGGCCCCGCCCACTGCCCCTCCTACCCCCAGCCCGGCCCCTCCGAGCAGAGAGCCAGGGCCGGGCTGGTTTAATGCGTTTTGGGGTTTTTTTGGTGTCACTAGAGGTGCCATCTTATTTCCTGACCCCCCCGCCCCCATTTCAATGGGGCACAGGGCCAGTCCTGTCTCCCCCCCACCATGGGTGCCAAGACGCCCTGAAGTGTGTCTTTTTTTTTTTTGGTCAGTCATAGGGCTTGAACTTGGGACCTGAGCGCTGTCCCTCAGCTCTTCAGCTCAAGGCCAGCACTCTACCACTTGAGTCACAGCGCCACTTCTGGTTTTCTGGTGATTAATTGGAGATAAGAATCTCTCAGGCAGGAAGCCCAGGTTGGCTTTGAACTGCGATCCTCAGGTGTCAGCCTCCTGAGTAGCCACCGGCACCCGGCTGAGGCGTCTTTTTGTGGGTGCCGGTCCTGGGGCTTGAACTCAGGACCTAGACTCCATCCCTGAGCTATTTCACTAAGACTGGTGCTCTACCACTTGAACCATAGCTCCACTTTGTACTTTTTTGTGGTTAGAGATTAGAGCTTGAATTTCAACCTTCAGATTTCAGCCTCCTAGGAGCAAGGATTACAGGTGTGTGTCCCTAGCACCTACAGGGGTATCTAAGTAGACTGTGCCAGCCGGCCCATGTCCTGATGGGTGGCCAGGCTGGAGGCCTGGACCAGAGGCCACAGCTGGACCTCTAGCTTCTGGAGGAAGAACGTGAGCCATTGCAGGGGCTTCCCAGAGGTCGCCTGGGCCCCGCCACCCCCGGACAGGGGCTTGTGGGTCCTGGCGGTGAGGCTGGCCGAGGCCCCAGGTCACTGCTCTGCGCTTGGCGTCTGAGCGCAGTGAGGCTGTAGTCCAGCCCTGGGGACAGGAGGAGCCGTGGGGAGGCGGGCCCGGGGTGTGCATCCAGCAGAGATGCCACTGGCTGCCTGCGCGTGGTTGGCAGGACAGCAGCAGGGCTGGGCTGGCCGTGCCCAGGGCGCCCTGGGGCAAATCCCGTTACTGCAGCCCGTGGGGAGGCCAGCTGTACATGGACTTCTTGTTGTTGTT